CTTTTTTTTATCTTTTTCTTTTTTCTTTGTTTTTGGTTTACGTTTAGGTTTTGTAGTTAGTTCCCCTCTTTTTTTTTTTTTTTTATCTCCCTTTTTAGTTTTTCTTTTTTTTATTTTTGTTGTTCTTTAGGCAAGGATTATGGAATCCTCTTGCTTGATAATTAAAAGAAAAAGAAAAATAGATCGAAAATGAAGCTAGGAAGACAATTTTGAGGCTTGTCATGAAAGGGAGAAGACTCTTTTATTAGGGACTTTAAGTAGTTAGACAAGCTATTTACTTCTGTTTGAAGTAATGTGACAGGTTGCACTTAGGCACCATTAGGGTGGCCGGATGATGCTAGACTTAGTTGTTAGGTACATTTATGTAATTGCAGTAGTAATTTCATGATCTTAATAAAGTACTAGTGTGACTGCCTATATTAAAAAAAAAAAAAAAAAAAAAAAATAATAATAATGAACAACTTATTAATATTTAAAGAACTAAATAAAAGAAAACCAAAAATATACATAACAGTAAAGTATTAGATATGTCAAAATAGAGCAAAAAAAACTTAAATATAATTAACAAGTTGTAATAAGTAAAAAAATTTGTAAAAATAGATATAAAAAGTAACAACAGTAACTGTATGAAATGAGCTTAAAGAAAAAGAAAAAGACAAAATTTTACTATAAGTATTATATAATACAGTATTCAGAAAAATAGAAACAGAAAAAATTAAAAATAAAAAAATATTAATAAAAGACTTACTATATTAAAAATAAGTGAAAAACTCAAATAATTATTAAATAAACAGGCAATACAAAAATATATAAACATAGTAACAAGAACAGTTTAAAACACCTTTTATGACCAAATATAAAGAATATAATGTAAAAAAAAATATTAGAATAAGAAAAAAAAACCAATAATAAATAAAATAAAATAAGAAAAAAATTAAATAAAAAAAAGCAAAAAAATAAATAAGCAAAAGAAAAAGAAAAAGAAAAAAAAACAAAAAAAATAAATTGAATAAAAAAATATATATAAAAGATAATTAATATACTTGTTACTGAAGAAGAAAACTTTTCTGATATAGCTTTAAGTAATTAGATGAGCAAACTATCTCTGAGATAATGTAACAGATTACATTTAGGTACCATAGAAGTAACCAAATAATGCTAAACTTAAATATTAAAAAATTTTATGTAATTGTATATGTATATAATTTCAAGAATCTTAAGGTTTAAAAAAAAAAATTTTAAATAAATTAAAATGAATTGCAGGGATGTAATGACTTAGTGAAGTGGATAAGTTCTCAACCTCCCAAGTGGTAGGTTGTGAGTTCAAAACCTACAGACAACAAAAATTTAAATAATCACCTATATAATATATCGATATTATAGTGATAGTATTCTGTCAATTAGTTGGGATAGAATATCTGTAATTATAGTTGCACCAGCATGACTGGCAGGTTATGGAACATTTGTGTAACCTTGATTACACAGAGAAATGCAAACTAGTACTAGGCAGTGCAAACCTAAAATAAGTCTTTGTGACTATATAAATCTATAGAACTAAAAAACTGAAGCCTGCTTGGAAAGACCCAAATAGAGAGATAATACAGATCTTTGACGGTATCACTGTAAAGCCTAGATCTAGAAAACAAATACCAATGTGGAAGAGCTGGATAAACAAGAACCTTAGATAAGAGTTACTACCAATCAGGTTGCTGAAACTGAACCAGAGAAAAAGGATATTAGGCCAGCTTGAGATACCAAGAACAGGTCACAATCCTACTAGACTATCTGGATTGGGAGTCTAAGATCAAAGCAGGAATATACTATAAGTACTAGAGATATGCTGTGAAATGAATACTAAGGTTTGAGTGAACTCTACAAAAACTAGTCTTGTTAATATTCTGTAAAATGAGTAAGTAGTTAACAAGAAGATACTTCAGAATTTTATAATTAGATGACATATTCTAAAATGTTTAACAGCTTGACAGATATACAAAAAAAGAAAACTAAATGTTGAATTAAATGACACTTAGTTGTATAGGAATCAGGTGTTACTCATTTGGGTGTAGTATAAGGATCAAAATGTTTAAATAAGTACCCTCCTAATAGGTTACAGGCATAACAGCTAGTGTAGAACCCTTGAGCAGACTACTTAAATAGGTAACCAAAAGTTACATGTATAACTAGTTGCACACTTACCTTGTACAAGTCATATGTAATGCATTGACCAAAAACACAAATAAAGGTGGTAGCTACTGATAACATCGGCTTTAAAAATAAATAAAAAATAAAAAAAATAAAAAAAATAGATTGCATAGTAGGCAGAAGTTCATCTGATTGGCTAATAAATTCAATTAATTTTACATTATTTATACAGTTTAGAGTACTTTTTTTAAAAAAAACAAGAACCAACCATAATAAAGTAAAAAAAATTATATAGAAGGTTTCATTAGAGCTATAGGCTCCATAGTCAAAAATAAGATCTAATTCTCGTCCATTTAAAAAAATTAGTTTAGTTATAAGTTGATTTTATTGGGTTTTGAGAAGCTATAACTTTTTTAAACGGACGAGAATTAGATCTTATTTTTGCTATGAAGTCCTACAGCTCTAATGAAACCTTATTTTTTTTAAAAAAGCTATAAATAATGCAAAATTCAATTGAATTTATTAGCCAATCAGACAAACTTCTGCCTATGAGGATTATACGCAATTTTATGGGAGGGTTCAACATTAGAAAACCAAAAATAAATTTGGACCCAAAGCTTAAGTCTTTGCTTATATAATTTTGAATTAAATTAAATACAAATAATAAAAAAATTGGTGATACAAATCATCTAGTCACATTATAATTTCAGTGACTTTTTTAAAAAAAAAGTAACTTTGTAGGCCACGCTTTCATTTTCATATACTTTTTGATGTTATAACAGGTATTTTTATCTTTGTAGGTTTGGTTAATAGGTAATAAATTTAATAACTTTTTTTATAGTTACATCATAGTTATATTACGTATAAATTATGATTATGTATTCATTATCGATATGATCGGATTCATACGACATTTAGGTTCAGACAGTTTTTACCGCAACCGTAACTTGTTATATGTCGGCCTGCATCACTAAAGAAATTGTTAATAGAAGATAGTTTATGAAATGAAGAATATATAGAATTTAATGTGTACATTGAACTTTATTTGCATTACTAAAATTACTTGAATAAATGCTTAATATATCACCATGAAATGCACAATGAATAATAAATACACCGATACAGTATAATTTTGAAACTTGATAAACACGTAACAATTTATCTAGTAGTGTGTGCATATCGCATTTGAGCTCAGATTGATTAGCATATATAAATAAAAGAAAAACTCGCAATTAATTATTAACAAAATATATACCAAAGAAGGCGTGAACAAAGGAATCGTTATATATATATATATATATATAAAAAAAAAAAAAAAAGAAAAAAAAAAAAAAAAAAGGAAAAAAAATATACAAGGGGGCATTAAATTAAAGTTTTTTGTCATTTTCTGCCTCATTTAAAAGTGAAGATATCGGAATTTTATTATTCGCAAACTTTGTCGGTTCGCTATCCATATTCATATCTGTATCCATATCAGAACATATCTTAAGCTCAGTCAAAGCATTTTCATTATGTACATTAGGATTTGACTTTGGTGATTTTACTGAAGCTATATAAAGTGACAAACTTTAGTATTTTATTCTCATTGAAACGAATACCAAGCATTCAAAATCAAAAGAAATAAAATGAACTTAATTAACCTGATACATTTTGTCTTTGATGTCTAAGTTGTTTCTTAGTCGCGTTGTGGTAAGCATTCTTTACGCGATTTGGAGTCGTTTTTACTTTCATATCTGGATTCTTATTTAAATCGTCTCGTATTTCGGCCCAACTTTTTCCAAAAGTATCCCGTTGCGCCTTAATATAATCGATTTGTTGAGCGCTAAATACAAATCTTTCTCCATCAGCCAGTTTGACTGCATGCGAAATAATGAAAATTAGGTAAATAATATATAAAATAATTTATATATTCAGAAAAGAAAAGAAAGTAAAAGTACCATCACTTTTTAAATAATTTCTCCATCTGGCAATTGTAAAATTGAATGTTACAATTTATACAATAATTTTTTTTTAAAAAAAAGCAAAGATTGAAATCATGACTAATCAGACAATTACTTTTCTTGTAGCTGTTTTTTTGTACGAAGCGGACCATAGATACCAACAAAAGTAACATGTATCTTGTCCCAATCCATATGATCAACTTTATCTTGTTCTAGTTCAATCACTATTCTCTCCAAACCACTAGTTTCCTATTAGGGAGAATTGTCATGCCTTTAGTAACAAATATACATGTAAGGTCGAAAAAATCGGAGTATAAATTGATGCCTTATAAAAGGAATGAATGAAACTAAGATTCTGAACATCCACGTTTCAAAACTTCGTTATAGTTTTTGCAAAATAGTTAATACAAAAAGGACACTTACTGCCTTGGACCAATGCATATTTGCTTACGAAGGAATAATAGATAAAAAAAGAGCTTGTAAGGATAAAGATAATAATACTTGAGGTTGTGTGGGTTGTAATTCAGATAGCATATGTTTACGAGTAAAAAAAGAATGTAAGCAAAGTTTAAAGGAAGGTGCGTTGGAAGAATAGTGGTGAGCACAGAGATCAAAGACCAAGATATATAAGCGTGCGATGTTAAGGTGCGTCCGTGTGACTTCATCATAATATACATTTTTATTTATGTTTCTTCAATTTTTGAAAATGGAAGTAGGAAAAAGAGAGATTATCAACTGTTTCAATATGGTAATCTGAATGATCAAAAAGTGCCTAGTGTTCAAAGGGTGAGTATAGAACTCAATTAAGTCATTCATTATCACAAATTCGCCGGCCAGCACTATTAATATTTTGTTTAACGTTAATGTCAGGAATTTTCGATCAAATTAACCATTTATAGTAGAGTATACACATTCATTCATATTAACAAATGTATAAAAAAAAAATTTTTTTTTTCTTCTGATCTAATGCTTTCTTGGAACGCCCATTTCTTAATATTAGAAACCTGTTACCCTATTACAAGAACATGCTAAGTGCCATCCATTATTTTATGTTTCGAAATTCGAATTTAAAAAGTTCCTCTCTTCATTCATTCATGATTTTCATTATCGGAAAAATAGGAAAAATAAATAAAAATAAATGGCATGGTGTAATTTCGCTCTACATAAATACGTGGTTAATCGTATGATCCATTGTGTAAACCAATTTTTCGATAATAGCATCTTTCGTAAAGCAACAAAGATTCAATCTGGAATCCCATGATCTTGGATATTATTGTACGCATGTACGTTTCAAGATGTCCGCGAAAGAATTCCAAACCTATTAAGAAAGGTGATCAATACCTTATATGAAACGGACACTGTCTTTCATTATGTCTTAAAATGATCCCGTCATTTATAATCATTTACGATCATGTGTTTTAACAATGTTTTTATATTTTAATTTTGGAAAATACAATAACGATAACAATAAACGAGTACGTATACGTATACTGATACGTGTGCTAATCTATTGGATATCGATTTACTAATACAACTTACTAAATATATATGTGCGATTATATCAAGATATTTGTCATTTTCACATAACAAATTAGGTCGAATTAATACGTACTTTTAAATGATGACAAAATTTTTCCCAATTTATATCATGTTAAATGCAGAAATTAAAAAATCCTATTGGTTAAATTTTAAACCTTCACGTGTTTTGTGGAACCACAAACAGACCAATCGGAATACAGAATCCAGGAAAGGCAAAAATTATCGTGATTTTAAAGAGTTAACATATCCAATCAGAATGCAGAAACTTGAACGAAAGATTGATTAATCGGAACGCAAATCAAAATTTATCGAAATCTTTGCAAAAAATAATCGAAATATTTGATTGTCTATGTTTACAAGAAATTGTTTCGCATAATACAATCATTCGAAATACATGACTGATACCGATCGGCTGCGTATGTGACCATTAACACTGCCTAGGAACAATTCTATTGTTGTATGTCGAAACGAAATTATTGCGGATTTAGAATCTACTTAGGTTGGAACGGGATTTCAAATGTAGTCGACACGAAATTTAAAAATTTAAAAGCAACTTAGGTTGATTCTGGATTTGATACTGTAGTAATTAATAAATTTAAGAGTAAAATATATTATATTTAAATTATATATAAATTTAATTACAAATTGTTTTTTTTTTTTTTTTTTTTTTTTTTTTAAACTTAAGCAGTTATGCTAGTACTTTATTAAGATTCTTGAAATTATTTTTACAATTACATAGATTTCCTAACAACTAAGTCTAGCATCACCTGGCCACCTATAGGGTACCTAAGTGCAACCTGCTGCACTACTTCTAACAGAAGTAGGCTATTTGTCTGACTACTTAAAGTCCATAGTGAAAGGGTTTTTTCCTTTCCATGACAAGTCTCAACATTGTCTTTCTAGTTTTTTTATTAATTCTATCTTTTTTCTCTTTTGCTTGTTTCTTTTCTTCTTCAATCTTTTGCTGATTTGCTTTTTCTTTCTTTTTTGGATTCTTTTTTCTAACTTCTTTTTTCTTTATTTTGGTTGTTATGTCTTTTTTCTTTTTCTATTCATTAATCTTTTTGTACTGTATTTTCCAGACTTGTTCATAGAATGTGTCTCATGCTGTCTTTGTTACTGTTTCTATAAATTTATGTTTTAATTTTGTATTTTAGAGTTGTGTTAAACTGTCTTGTGTCTTTTTTGAGATCAGGTCTTTGATTAACATTTCTCTCATCTCTATCTCTTCTGTTTTATTTTCTCCAAAGAATGCTATATATAGTACATGTGATAGAATACAAGTTTTTTCTTCTTCCTTAAACCCTTTCCAAATTGTTGCGATAGTTACTTTTTGGATTTGTTTCCACAAGTTCTGCTATCCTTTGTATAATGCTATATGTGACTGTGTTTCTTTAACTTTATCTTGACATACTTGGTATTCTGTTGTTGTATATACATCTGGTCTTCTATTAAGTTTTTCTAGAGTCAGAAGTTTATCCATCATACACTTTATAAATGTACATCTTCTTGTATTACTTCTTCTTGTTGTGTAATATACCTCTTTAGTTATTTTTAGTCTTTTCCAGAATTATGTCCAGTCATAGATTATGATTTCTGTTTTCAGTTCTAACTTTTTGATTGCATTTGTTTCTTTCTATTCTGCTTCTAATCTTGTATTTGTTATCAATTTGCATAACAATCTTGCAGATATGTTAGTTCATTTGTTTTCTCACTCTAGGCAGTACTCTATCTCTTCACAACTAACTTTTTCTATTTGTATTACTTTCTCACTTATTGTTCCCTTCTTTACAAGGCTATCAGTTTTGTTATTCTATTTGTCTTTGCTATGGTTTTTAATTTTCACTAATTCTATCTATATATTTTTTGTATTAATAAGATCTATAATCTTCATTATCCATATTACATTTTTCTTTTTAAGAATTTTCATTCTATCTATTTGCTTTAAGTCTCTGCTAATGTTTCTAATCACAACATTACTATCTGTATATATTTCTACTTGTTTTCCTCTTAGTATTGTTAAAATTGCTGTCTATATTGCTACTAATTCTGCTATTATTAATGTCATCCATCCTTCTAGGCCTAATAATGTTTTTTCTTCTGGCCACTCTTACATTTTATTTGTTTGAACCTATTCTATCCCCATACTGTTGTCTTATGCTTCTTCTTTGGTCTTTGTATTTGTAGCACTGTCTGTATATATAATGTATTTGTCTTTATTTCTTGATAGGTTTCCTTTTAGCATCTTTAAAATTTCTTGTTTGATGCTCTTGTTTAATTTCTGTCTCTTAATTATTTCTATTTCTAATCTTTCAACTATCATTAGACCTTCAAGCTTCCGCTTACTGTCTCTCAAACTTTCTGTTTCATTTTTTTCTATCAACTGGTCCAAAGCTATCTTGATCTTGTTATTCTTCTTTTCTATCGATATGTTTGGGATTACTTTAATCTTGTTGCTTATTCTTATCCATTACCAGCAACTGTCTTCTTTCTGTCCTTCTTCTTCTATGCATCTATTACATCTGCTAATTTCTGTTGTTGTTTCATTTTTCTTACCTTGTATTTGCCAATGCTCTACTAGAACCTTTTTCTTTTTCTTCTTTATTATCTTTTCTAATTGTCTATCTCCTTGTGTACTGTATATTATTCACTCTTTTCTTCTTTTGTCTTTTAATATAGTTCTTAATACTATTTTCTTGTTTAGATGTTGTGTTTATTTGTCTTAAAATGTTCTTTGATTCCCCTATTTGTTGGCTCTTCAAGCACTTTGAACTTTATTTCTTTAAACTATTCTGCTTTTTTTCCTTTACTTTACCATCCACAAAAGTTTTTAAATTGTTGCCACATGATCAGCTTCTTATCTTTTATATCGATTAGTTGGTTTAGATAGATTAAACTTGTTTCATTTATCTCTATTCCATTTTTCTTTCACAGCTGTGTTTCTAATAATTCTCGTATTTTCATACCATATCTAAATATTTTCTATAAGTTATTTTCTGTTCTTATGCTTGTTCCTAACTCTTTTGCTTTTATTACTGTTAAACATGCTAAGTTGTTCTTCTACCATATTTTGTTATCTGGTATCTCTTCCAATTTTCAAACATCTTCTATCAAACCTGCTCTTTGACAGTCTTGTGTTATTCTTAGCTTTGTTAACTGTCCTAGGCTGTCTTGTCTGTTTAATCTTGACAGTAAGTCACTCACTTGCTTCATTACTAGCTCTTGTTGAAGTGTTTTACATCTACTCAGATTCTTATGTTCTATTATACGATTTTCTGCTATTTTTTACAAATTGCTTTTTTGTTTTGCTAGACATATTATTGGTTGATATATTTCATGTATTCTCTTTTCTGAGATTTTAGTCAGTTGAAGCATGTAGTTTAGTTTTGGAATTATTACCATATTGTTTATATATATGATCTGGTTTGCTATCATCTTTTTGTATTTGAGATCTTTTATCATTTAACTGACTATTCTTTTAGTTTTTCTTTTAATTAACACTTCTCATATTTTATTGTTCAGCCAAATTCCAAGTAATCAAACAATTTTGTTTCTTGACTCTTCTCTTACATTGCTTTTGTCGAAGACTATTTCTTTTCTCTTTTAACTTTTGTGTTCATCACTAGCAGTTTTGATTTCAATCTATTAATCTCTATGTCATTCATCTTGAAGAACTCTTCAGCTACTTCTAGGATCTTTAATAACTGGTC